AGAAGGAAGTTTGAGTAAAAAAAATTAAATTTAAAATAAATGACTTGGAAGCAAAATAAAGGGAGACCTGAACTTTTTGCTAATTAATATTTATACCACTTATAAGGTAAATACGTAATATGAAAGAAAAAGCCCCTCTTTGAACGAAGGAAACTGGCGCTCCCCATTGCTCGCGCGAGCACCTGAGCTCCACAGAGCAGGAGGTGAGCAGTGGGCGAGCAAGCGAAAACCGGAGCTCCGCATCTCGCACGAGTGAAAACTGGCACTCCGGTTTTGCTCGCGTGAGATGGGGAGCACTGGTTTTTGCTCGGGCGAGCACTGGGCAGTGCCAGTTTTCACTTGTGCGAGTGCTGGGGAGCTTGGTTTTCACTCGCTCACCCCTCTCACCTCTGGAGCTGCCCCGGTTACAGCCCTGGCTCAAATGAAGGCTCCACTCTCCCAGCCCTGCTGCTTGAGTATCGGCATATAACAGGCAGCTAGGATTTCAGCCCCAAATTTTAAGGAAAAAAGTGCGTGTTATACGCCGATAAATACAGTAATTTTTCATGTTTCTCAGACATTTACTTTCCAAATACAGCTTTTTATGGGTTATATTGTGCTACCTATTTTTATAATTGTACAAGCTATACAAACGTCAGGTTTGTATTAAAAGAAACAGTGATGTAAACATAGTTAATAAAGAAATAATGAGCCACAATCTTCCAGTAATGTACACCACACAAATCCCATTTATTTCAAGTTCCCTGGGGCACTATGACCTTAGTCTGTGTTAGATCAGGTTTTTTTGCAGTTATTCAGATCCATGACATCAGCTATTTTTCCACATTTTACAGAGTATTTCCAATGGCTATGTTACCTACTCACCAAAAGCCCATACATCAGACTTGCTGCTGAACTTGGTATAATTAAAAACCTCTGGTGCAGACCACAACATTGAAAATCTAGCTCCTACAGAACTGATATACTGATCATCTGGCACATACCTGCAAGGAAATATTCAGCATTGAAGCTGTTACAGGGACAGAGGAAAGGTTTATCACAAAGACATCTGAATTAATTCTCCTTGGAAAGTCAGATGACCACACTCATCTTGAGCTATTTTTCAAATCTATTTAGACAAGTCTTTTTAGAAGTTGTAATTCTAGAAAGACTAAATGGATTCAAATATCTGATATAAACAGTCATTTATAGAAACTAGATTTGACAGAGGATATGTGCTGGGATCCTTTGATACTCTTCCAAAAATGTAGAATAAATTGATTACAAATTGCATAATTAAACCCATATATTAATACATGTACTAAATATGAAATGTGGGTCACCTTAACTGGTCAAGCTGAGGAATTATCGTGAGGAAAAAAATACATGTTGCTTCCAGATAAATTTTTGCTGTTTTTGCAATTTTGTTGTTTGCAATCCATTTGTTTCATTCATGGAATCTATCAAGGATTCCAGATGTCATCACCGTTTTTTGTGTAACTTAACATTTCCCACCACTGCTTGGACCATTCTTCTTTCCAGACAAAACCCATTGAGGAAGAGAATATGGGAAATTGCTTCACGACTCATGATCTGTAATTATTGCCTACCCCTTAAACCATAGGTTGGGAGTTAAATTTGCAGCTGCTTCAGGACTTACACTGAACTTCTCCACCATTGCTTAAAACTTTGGTGGAGGAAAAAAACCCACTTGTTTTGCTAATGGAAGCATCCTTATAGAAGTGTCTGCAGCATCCTGTGGATTTGTCAGAAGATGACATAAGTACTGCTATGCAAGTTCTATCCCCCTGTGGATGGCCATGATAAACTGCTTCATTTTTAAGGTGGCCATACAAAGCTATCATCAAGTAAAGGCTTTCTCACATAGCTTCAATAGAATGAGGATCTGTCCAAGAATTTATACTTAATTCCTGGCTGAGCTGGAACCAGATTCTAAAATGAACCAATTCAAATAGCACAAGGTTTTGAATTTCCTGTACAATGAATAAGCATTATATTCCCCCTCCCCACTCCACAAAATAGTTAACCTAAAAGATGTCAAACATTTAGTTTATATTGAATAAATCAGTTGACGAAGGTGTCTCCTATATGTTATCAGAATCAAAAAAAGGAAGAGTAAAGATTCCATTTTCTATGCCCGACACTATTGTTATGTGCATTGAATAGCATTTAAAGAGTTTATAGGAAGGAATGAAGATGGTGAAGCAGAACCAGTGGTTCCCAGGCCAATTATGTGAACAATGAGTCGGTGCCTCCCAATTTCAGAACCATAAATGAAATGGCCATGTTTTCATTGATTCAAAAAGGTAGAAGGCCAAGAATTTAAACTCTGGAGTGTGTGTTTGTGCATGTATATGTGTTTACATATATACTGTACAGTAAAACAACAATTCAACCAACCAATTCAAGGAAGAGGAAGTGCCTCAATCCCCAAAGTTTGTTAAATTGCAAATTATATAATTTGTCACAATTTACAATCATTTGTGTAATATCATTATACTGTATAAAAACACCATTGGAATAGAATTACATGATTACACAAGTGACATAGATTGACATGAATTATGTAAAATTAATGTAAAATTAACTTCCTAATCCAGGGTACATCAGACCCAGTGGACTCATCCATTACTTCAGAGGATGTCCAGACACAAATTTGCATCCATTGCATCTGGAGTTTGCTAAATAAGGGCTACATCAAGGTTTCATTGTTCTTAACTAAGCAGAACTTTGGTGCGTATATGGCTTAGTTTTTCTTTGCAATAAAGCAACTGATCTAGCTGTGTCGTGTCTCCAACCTTCTGCAAGAAGCAAGTTCCTGAATGTGGGATTGAGTGTTAGGAAAGCAGTTATATGCTGTAAAGTGATCTCTGTCACATTTGGAGGGTGTCAAATTCAAAAGTCTATTTCACATTATTGCTAAAGATTTTGCCTGTGGCTTACCTTGTCAATCCAAAATCAGATACCTTCACGATTAGGTCAGCATCAACCAGACAATTCCTAGCAGCCTTTGTAAAGAATACAATATTATCAGGACCAAAAGGGATATGATGCCAAACTTGGTGTAATTAAAAACTTATGGTCTAGACTACTTCCCTGAAACTTGGTTCTGAAAGAATTGGCATGTAAGGAAATATATTCCTCCCTTCAATTCCATTAAATCAACCACAAAAGATTAGAAAAGGACACTGAACTGCCTCAAACTTTTTGGGGGGGTGAGATGTGGGGAGGAGAGGAGAGGAGAGGAGAGGAGAGGAGAGGAGAGGAGAGGAGAGGTTGACAGAAGTTACTTCTATGTGCCCTCTCCAACTCCAAAAGGCAAATAACATGGGGATTGAGATGGAGGGGGAAAAACCACACATGGGATAGTGTTAAACTTCTAGATGTACTGCACCAGCTTCCCAAATTCCCAATAACCCTGTGGTTCCAAATAATGAATTGCAAACTAATAATTGATATGCCAGTGTAACGGCATTTGGATTCTGTCTCACTGAAATTTCTAGGATGCAAGGCCAACTAACTCATCCCAAAAATTTCTCAACAAATGTATCCAGAAAAGAACTGTACTAGCAAATAATAAACACAGCTAAAAAGTACATGATTTATTTTTCTGTTGCTTTGCTTCATTACATATTGCTCTATTATCTTTTTTTATTTGTACATTCAAATGAATTCATGAATCTTAGACGGTATCTCGAAGGCAGGGCAAGAGAGGCAGCAATTGTTTTTCCTTACAATTAGCTTATGTCAGGCCTAGCCCAAAGAACTCCTGGAGACCATGCAGGCTCAAGGTTTATTGCCAGCACCTGTTTATAGAAATCTTCTCAGACG